GCTTCATACTCGACCAGCCTGCGGGCGCCGGGTGGCGGTACCAGTTCAAGCCGGGGTTCATGGAGCTGGTTGTACGATGCGCGTTCTTCATCCCGGAGGGCGAGAGGAGTATGCGGCCAGACATGCGCTTTGCCGTGTTCGCCGCCGAGGAGGTGGTCTTCTTCCCGCTCGACCAGGTGCTCCACTTCCCCAAGCCGGCCCCGTTGCTGCCCACTGCTGCCCTCGCCACGCCGCGGGAACCGCTGCCGTCGGCGCCGTGGGCCGGCATCAGCGAACTGGGCGCGATCATGCGGGCCACGTGCGACGACGCCCGGGTGCGAGTTGGCGTGTGGATCACGAGACAGTTCACTTGGACGGCTGACGTCGACCTCTGGCTGCTGTGGACACTCGACATCGTAGGCGTAGACCACGTGGTGCTCGAGCTGGCCTCTGTCGATCTGGACATCAAGGACGTCGAGCGGCGCCTAGCGCGGCACCCGGGCGTGCTGGAGCGGGTCACCATCGTCGCCGTCGACGCGCCGGGCCGAGACTACAACGTCACCTACTGCCACCTGCAGGAGCTGCTGGTGTGGGACGGCTTCGTGCGGTTTCAGGCCGACTTCGACTTTGTGTTCCTGGTCGACACCGACGAGTTCGTGCAGCTGTTCAGCGCCGAGCCGCCCTACGAGCGGGTCGATGTCAAGACCTTCATCGCGCGCAACCGCGAGCGGGTGCTGGCCGGGGGCCACGCCTACCTGCACCGGCTGCGGGTCGCGCGCACCCAGCCTAACCGCTTGGTCGAGCCCGGGCTGCCCGCGTTCCTGCGTGGCGTGTTGGGCCGCGACGGCGCCCAGATGCAGGCCATGGCCACGGCCGGCGGCGGCGGGACCGAGGAGCAGGGCAAGAGCCTGTTCAACGTCAACGGCGCTGTGCAGCCCTACCTGCACTACAGCATGGGCTACCCGATGAACTTCACCGACGTGTACCCGACCCACATGTGGGCGCAGGCGGAGGCCCACGTCTTGCATATCCGGGAGAAGCCGGACGAAAGCAAGCGCGCCGAGCCGTGGGCCAACGGCACGCTCACTTGGTGGCTGACCCAACTCGAGAAGAACAATAAATAAATTAATAAATTGCTTAAGCAATAATGTGGCGTTACCAGCCCATGGCGGCCTTGATGACGGGTACAGCGCTGTCGATGAACGTGATGTTCACTCCCTTGGCCTTCTCCTTGTCGACCACGTTCTTGACCTAGGAGCAGCAGGGCTGCGAGATCATGGGTCCGCAGGCCAGGAAGAAGTGCGGAGTCTCGTGGTTGCCCTTGCACTGGCTGTGAATCTTCTCAACAAACTGTTGGTAACCTGTGTCGTGCCATTGGTCGTGTCGTTGTTGGTGCCGTGTGTCGTGGCAAGTGAGTCGAAATAGTGCTGAATGGGGGTGATGACGAAACCTTCTTCGAAGACCTGGGGAGGAGCGGGCTGGGTGGAGTAGTCGTTGGTGCCCAGGTTGATCACAACAGCCTGCAGTTGTCGTTAAGTTGCATCCACGGCGTCAGTCAGGCAATAAAGAGCTCTCCCTCTAGAGGGAGCGAGATCAACGTTACCTGAGGAGTCCACACGCCAAAGTGCCACGCCGAGTCCCTGTTGGTGGGCAGGGTCCGCGGGAACAGGGAGGGGAAGGGCTCGGACAGGCTGCCGACGTGATGTTCTTGTCGCCGACATTCCTCACCACGCCCTAGCCGCTCCAGCACTCCAGGTGCAGCTCGGCACCCAGGCTCTTGGAGATAAGAGTGCCGTAGGCCCTACAACAGCGAGTGAGAGTTAGTACGCCGAGATTGTGTGTCGTGCGGCGTGTGTGTCGTGTCGTGGGTGTGTGCGGTGTGTGTACAGGCCGCTGTTTTCGGTGGCGGCACTGAAATCGCAAGGCGGATGGCCCTCGATGCCATAGCCGCACGAAATGGAATCGCCCGCGAACTCGATGCGTCGGCTCTCGAACTGGGCCTTCTCGGGTGTCTCCGCGACTGCAGGGATGAAGGAGCGTTCGCCGTCCGACGCACCAGCCACGACGAACCCGGGGAAAGTGACCACGCCGAACCGCGCCTCCTGCTTGCGCAGCACCGTGAAAGCTAAAGATGTGACGCACCGGAGCTGAGACCGCTGGCGGCGGTGTACTGGCTGGCGGACGCCGCTGGGTGTTGATGAGGCCCACCGAGAAGCCGTCTACAAACACCTCAAACACATTCCCCTCACGGTCGAGCAAAGCGTCGATGGCCCTCCCCTTGAACCTGAAGACACAAACTTTAATCGAAGCCGGGATTTACCGGTGCCGGGGGGGGGGGTACGTGGTGTGTATTTCGACGCTGGACCACTCAAACTGGACGGCTCCGGCAATGATCGGAGACTGCTGGACTCGTCCCACATACTGCACGCTCTGGCCCGCGGCCACGGCCACCCAGAGCGCTACAACGACGAACCGTGCCCAACCCGTTTATTTCCCTTTATGCCCCAACCCAACCCTAACATGGCCATTGGCTTGTTGTTGATCACCAACTCAGGGGAACCTCTTGACCACTGCCACCACCTGAGTGGCTTCTACTCTCTGCTTGCTTGGCTGCTCGCGCGGTCGGCTTGGGTGACATGCTGTGGTGGCGGTCAGCGCACCTGGGGAAACAACCGGGAAAATTACGTTGGTTTCTGTCCAGACTGACATTCGTCCCCAACAGGATTGCAACCCTTTCCGCATAGCCTTGGGGAGCAGGCAAGTTGGATCATCATCATCATCAGAACTCAAGAGACCGATTGACCACGCAAGCCACCACCCAACACAAAACCGAACACGCGACAAAGATGGACCACACGCACATCAAGACGCACAACATTCGCAAGGTTCCAACCCACCGCCCCTCTTCCTCTTCGCTTTAGTTCACAATCTTCTTCTTCTTCCTCCTTCTGTTCAGGACACACAGGTGAAGAAAGCGGACCTCCCACCGCCGCCTCCCCCTTCTCCTGCGGTACGTGAAGCTCTCAGCCATTCATCTTTCTTTGGCGTTGACAGCTGACCGGCAAACTGTTAGGAGCCAAAAGAGGACAGCCGACGGACTAGGCCCATCCTGAGTTCCGAGGTGCTGGCCGCGCTCAAGCACCACCCGCTGCCCCTGGCCCCGGTCTCGCTGGACTCGCTCGCCGACACGCCCAAGACCCACCTCCCGCGCACCCCACCACCCACCCCCTCCATCGAGCCCCTCGACCTCTACCCCGCCTCGACCGAGTCTCAGGTGCGTTTCATGGGAAGTGTGTGTGTGTGTGTTGCCTGAGTCGTGCGTGTCGTGTCGTTCTGGAGACGCGCTGACACAGCTCATGTTCAGGCTGAGCCAATGGAGGAGGAGGAGCCCGCGCAGCCGTTCCTCTACAAGTCGAACGAGTCGATCCCTGTGCTCTACGAACCGGACACCACCGCCATCAAGAAGGAGGGGGAGTTCATCCAGCCTCAGGCCCACGAGTCTCGGGAGACCTCCGCCCCCACCGCCAGCATCTACGTGTAGACACGCGTGTTCCCTTCAGGTGTAAATAGAAAACGTTTTAATTGTTACATTTTTCTTGATAATTATTTCCATTTCTTTTAAGGCCGCTTTTCGGGAATGAAATCTCAACGACACTTTGGCCTGACACGTCAGCAAAGATGACGTGTCAGGCCAAACTTCCACCGAAATTTCACATTCACGTTCAAGGGAGAAAAAGTGTTCAAAATGATTTTGAGAATGATTTTTTTCGTGTGCGGCACCTTCGTCACTTTCGGCTTTCGGCTTCATCGTGGACAAATTACCACCTCGGTCGCCCACGCTGTTGCAATAAATAATTCTAAATTCATAATTTTCGTGCCCCCAAGGAAACAAATAAATAAGTCATTTCCTCTGTCGGATGGGCCACCAATTGGGCGATTGTGGTCAACAAAAAGACCCACCAGTGAAGCATTCCTGTCAAGCGCCCTTAAATTATATTTTGCCACGGCTGGCGGGGCAGTAAGGAAGGATGAGTAGTCGCCAGCCGGGCGACAGACCCAAGCGCGAGGAGGGACCGCCCCACCATGCCCTCCCACCACCCAGCCTCACCGTCACAATGCTGGCATCCGCCACAGCAAGCATGCTGTACACTCGCTCCCCCCCCCCTTGCAGTGGCAGCCTTCACTTGACCTCCTACCGCCCTCTCTGCAGGTCACGAATACCGTGCCACCCGCTGGACACGGTCAAGGCCAAGCTTCAGGTCGGCGCCCAGGGCGGCCTGCGGGGCGTTCTACGCCACACCCTCCGCACTGAAGGCCTGCGGGGCGTTCTACGCCACACCCTCCGCACTGAAGGCCTGCGGGGGCTCTACCGCGGTAGATGCCCCCCCCCACACCTATACACAATGGAAGCACGGCCTGGTGCTCACGTCCGCGTGCGTGTGCGATGTGTGGCGTTTGCTGCCTTGTGTCGTGTCGTGTCGTGCGGTGTGCAAGGCTTTGGAGCGGCATTTGTGGGGAGCGGACCAGCGGGGTGCCTGTACTTCACCACCTACGAGCTCGCCAAGAAGGGCCTGCTTTCGGTGGGGCTGGTGGGGCAGAGCCCCTTCCTGGCCCACTTCGGCGCGGGACTGCTCGCCGAGCTCGTCTCCTGCGCTCTCTGGGTTCCCATCGGTACGCCGCACAGCCTTCGCCAGGTCCAGGCACCAGGGGGTCAACCAACTGACCCCAACCACCCAAAACCCGCACACGCGTGTGTGGTTCCTGTTCGTGTTCGTGTTAACACCACTCGTGGTTTGCGTTGCGTCGCTTGGCGAATACGCAAGACGTGGTCAAGGAGCGAATGCAGGTGCAGTCCACCCTGGCTGCGGGCAAGCCGTCCTACGCCTACACGGGCGACCTCCATGCGGCCGCTACCATCCTACGCACGGAGGGCCTCCGAGGTACAGCCCCACCCACCCATTCCGGCCGCACCGGCAATCCACTGCTTGATCAAGCCGCCAACAATGCGTGTTGGGATGCTGTGTTTGGGGTCGTAATGGGGTGCGTACAGGGCTGTATCGAGGCTACGGCGCAACGGTGCTCAGTTTTGGCCCCTTCTCGGCGCTCTATTTTGTATACTACGAGCAACTGAAAGGCCTGGCCGAGGCGTTCTCCGCCAGCAATGATTCCTCCACCTCCGCCTCGACGAGGCGACCGCCACCAGAGGTGAGCACAACAACGCCACTATCATTCGGGGCAGTCCTAGCGTGCTCCGCCACCGCAGCTTCACTGGCCGCTCTGTGGTATGTCCTGTGTGCCGTGTGTGCCGTGCATGTGCGGTGGTGTGTGCGTGTGCGTGTGCGGCGGTACATGCCTTAACAGCTACACAGCACGAATGTGCTAGATATGGCCAAGCTGAGAATGCAGGTTGAACGGGCAGGCGGGGAGCGAACGTTCGGCTACACCAACGTATTCCACGGAGTCGCACGCATCGTCAGCGACGAGGGCTGGCGCGGCATCTTCCGAGGCGCCGGCGCGCGCATCGCCTTCCAGGTGTGTGAATGCTCTTCGCTCCATTGCTGTGTCGAGTGTGTGCATTCCTTAACCGATACCACATCTGTGTCGTGATTCACTTCTCTTCCCTTCACTTGGTGTAGGCGCCCACCACCGCGATCGCGTTGGCCGCGTTCGAGCGGCTCAAGGTGGGCTACGGCCGCCTTGCGGAGCGAGTGCCTGCCGGCCGAGAAAATAAATGAAATTATTTTCCACAATTTTTATTGATTTTGAGGAGATGTTGCGAGCGACGTGCGGGAGCAGGGTGCTGGGGCGTACCGCGGTCACTAGATGCAGTGTTGCCCTCCATGGCAGAGGGCCTGCCATGACAACTTCAGTGCGCAGTGCCGACGTACACTCCAATCAATATTTATTATTTGTTTTGATTTTGGTTTTATTATTAATAATTTTTAATCCATATTGGCAGGTGGAGGCGCGGGAAGTGGGTACGCCAGACACGCCGGGCTATCGTGTGTTCTTCTACAACACGGAGGGAAAGAAGATCTCGCCCTGGCACGACATCGCTCTCACCGAGCCGGGCACCCGGATCGAGCAGGGCGTGCTCCGCTACGTCGTAGAGATCCCCAAGGGGTACAGCCACCACGCGCGCGCACACCCTTGCCCTTGTAAGCTGCGGTTGCGAACACTTTCCGCTGATATCGACCGCCTCAACAGAACCGACCAGAAGATGGAGATCGCCACCGATGAGCCCTGGAATCCCATCAAGCAGGACACACGCAAGGATGGCGCGCTAAGGTGAACATTCTTTGCGTGCCAAGTAGTCGTGTGCCACGCAACGCATCACTGACTGACTGACTGACTGACCTCTGGCGCTCGGTCCAGGTATCTGAAGCATGGGCCGGTGCTGTGCAATTACGGTGCGTTCCCACAGACGTGGGAGGATCCGAGCGCGGAAGCCCACCCGCAGGTGAACTTGGCCGGCGACAACGACCCCATTGATGTCATCGAGATCGGCTCCCGCGTCGCCCAGCGAGGCGAGGTACACTCCCGAGTCAAGGCCTGTCTCCTTCATGAGCAAGGCGCTTACTGTGCGCGTGCGTGCGTGTGGTGTGTGTGTGTGTGTCGTGGCGTATTGTGCAATACAGGTGGTAAAGGTGAAGGTGCTTGGCGCATTTGCACTGGTGGACGAGGGTGAGCTGGACTGGAAGGTGCTCGCCATCGATGTGAACGACCCCAAGGCTGCTTCCCTCAATGGTACACCGTACCACTCATAACACAAGGCCTGACGATGGTGGCATGGGCGACCAACAACCATCACGGCACGCAGACGTGAGCGAGGTGGAGAAGCAAATGCCGGGCACGCTGGCGGCGGTGCAGGAGTGGTACCGCGTGTACAAGGTGGCCGAGGGCAAGCAGAAGAACTCCTACGCCTTCGACGACAAGGCCCTCGATCGGGTACAAAGATGTGCGTGTGCGTGTGCGTGTGCGTGTGCGTGTGCGTGTGCGTGTGCGTAGTGGTTTTGAGTTTCGACTAAACCGAATCCCGTGCAACGTAAAGGCCTTTACGTTGTCGGTGTTGCAGCACGGACACGAGAGCTGGCGGAAGCTCTTCACCGCCCGGTCCTCGCCCAAGTTCGCCTTTGACAGCACCAGCGGTGCCCAGTAGCTCGCCCATACAATCACTCGAGGTGCGCGTTCGGTGCAGCCGGCGCGTTCGCACTGCGGGCGAAGCAGTGATCAAAGAACACACAAATGTGCATCGTTGGAAGTGGAGAGGAGCGCCACACCGAAAGCTACAGGACACATCAGGTTTGTATGGTTTGTTTGGTTTGTCATTTTTGCTTGGAAGGGAAGAGGAGGGAGTTGACAGTCGTGATGGGAAGATCGCACAGGGACGGCACCTCGCCCCGAACGTTGCGTCGGTAGCGGTCGCGGTCGAGTCCAGCCTCCTCGGCCAGCCGATGTCCTTCTCGCCGCAGCAGCAGATCTTCCACCAGCGTCGCTCCTTCCCGCGTGCCCAGAGCTGGCGCCACTGTGTGCTCATCTGCTCAAAGTATCAGCACACCGCACACGACACGACGCCACACGACACGACCAAGACGCGCGTACCGGTGAGAGTGGTGCGTGCGTCGAGGGGTGTGCTAAAGGCCCAGTTGAAGGCCGTGTAGAAGAGGAACTGGAAGAAGAGGTAGCTCACGCACAACCACGCCGGAAAGGCTGTCGCCCAGTACCTGTCAGCACGCACGTACGCGCCACAGAAAGCAGCGTGTGCCCATTAGACATGTGACACGTACATGCACTGCACACATCGCACACACGCACACATCGCACACATCGCACACACCGCACACGACACCGCACCCAACGAAACAGAGCAGAAGTAGGGGGGGACGTGCTTGGAGGGGTAGTAGGTCACGCCGAGCCACTCGAGCCACTCTTCGGACAGGAACGCCCACAACACATAGGCCACTATGGGTCGAGCACACGTGTTCAACTTGGATGAGATGGGATTTGAAGCGAGGCCTGGATTAAATGTGTCGTACCGAAGGTGAGGCCTGTGGCTATCCAGGCAACGAAGCCATAGACCTCCACATTGGCTCCACGCTTCTCCTCCTGCGCTGCTCCTGGTGCTGGTGGCCTTTGTCGCGTTTCCATCTATCTTGACCTCCTGGACAATATATTTATTTAACAATGAAAATAATATAATAATAGTTTAAAATGTTTTCTCTTCTATTTCTTTTTGCAATCGCCGGGTGACATGCAACCAACTACTGGAGTTGTTACGACGAAACATGCATCGTGTGAAGGAGTGAACATTCAAAATGTCCCAAATCCCAGGGCTGACGTGGATGGGGGCTTCGCGTCACAGGTGAGTGAAGGTGACACGAGTGAGTGACCGATGGCAGATTCCGGGTGGAACTCCAGTGAGTGTGCGTAGCTTCATGCAAGTCCTTTCGCTTCCACCAAGGCCACCATCAAGTCACAAACTTTTTTTCCTACGTCCAGTGCGCGTACACAACAGACTGCAAACCACCGCCACAACGTACGCCGCCATCCAGCTCGCTGGTCTCGTTTCTCTTCGTTCGTTGTAACATTCATCTTTTCTCTCTGCAGGTCGCATGTCATGTCCAAGCGGCAGCAACGGGGCGGCAAAGTTGAAGCGACTGCTCACGCTTCCGGGAAACCGCCGATGCGCCGACTGTGGCGCCCCTGGTACCCCCCCCGTTCTTTTTCGCTTTCTTTTTCGTCTGACCAGATATCTCCGACGGCAGATCCACAGTGGGCCTCCCTCACGTTCGGCTCCATCTTTTGCATTCGCTGTTCGGGAGTGCACAGGTGGGCTGCTCCACCTCCACCTCACGCTCATTTCATACTCAAGAAGCTGGTTTGCTTTTTCCTCACTTGCGAACGACACCAGATCGCTGGGCACTACGGTGTCGCGCGTGCGGTCTCTGGAGCTCGACCGCTGGACCCCGGCCCAGGTCAAGGTGTACACCGGTCCTCTCCCGCGCTACTCGGCTTCTTCGCTTTGCGCTCACCACGCACTCGCACCACGCATGCACACGCACACACACACACACACACAGAGCCTCAAGACGCGCGGTAATGACTTGGTGAATGGCATCCTCGAGAACGACGTGCCGTCCCACGTGCACAAGCCCACCCCGCGCTCTTCGTTCGAGTGCGTCGTCTCCAACACTCAGATCTCTGCGGCTGCCTGACCTTGTCTTTCTTTTTCTTTGTTTTTTCTTTTTTGTCCACCAGGGAGCTGACGGCCTGGATCCAGGCCAAGTACGTCGAGCAGCGATTCCGGCCCACGCCCAAGACCGCCGCGGAGTGGGCGCGGTTCGAAGCAGAAGACGCCCGGCTCCTGTTCTCTTCGCCGTCGTCGTCTTCCTCGTCTTCATCAGCAGCTGCGATTCGGCCATCGGCCACAGTCCGTGGCCTGCCCGCCGCGACGCCCGCCCGGAGGCTGCACACACTGCCCAGCCGCATCAAGTCCTGCGATGACGGCGCATCAGCCAGTTTGTCCGCTGCGTTCCGGCCGATCGGCGATGAATTGTGG